ATATGTAACAGACCTGCTCAGGTGAAAGTGTGGCTCCCCCATTCCTGGACTTTTCCGCTTTGGAAAGACCCTTCTTTTTCTTTCCACCACAGCCAAAAAAAAAAAAAAAAAAAAAAAAAAAAAAAAAAAAAAAAGAAGAAGAAGAAGAATAAGAAGAAAAATAAAAAAGAAGGGCTTTCAGGGTAAGTTTTACCAGGGCCAGGTTTTCCTGCTTCCCATCCCAGGGCTGGGGGAAGGAGGAAGACCTTTACCTGCTGCTCGCTGCCGGGCAGGGGGCACCACGAAGGAAACAGGACGCAGCCGTCTGGCGGCAGCTTTTTTCGGCTGGATTTCGGCTCGCCTGCCGGGCTGGGGTTGCAGCTGGCTGGCCTGATCTCCTTCCCTCCCACCGGCTCTCACTGGGAGCAGAACATGCCTTCTCCTGCTGATTTCTGCTTGCCATATTGATTGCAGCAGGGTATAATGGAGACAAGTCAGGCAGAAAGCCAGCCACCCTTGGGAATGATTAAAGAGCAAGCGGGAAAGGATAGAAGTGAAGAAAAACAGGCTGACACTTAGGACGTGGTGGATTTGGAGCAAATTATGCCCTTTTCCCCACCTCACCCCTGCTAGGTGCCTGGGACGGTTCAGCGGCACCTCTATTTCAGCTCTGCCCAAAAGAAGCATCATATCGACCCCCATGAACGCGGGGAATAAAATCCCCAGAACGTGTACAATATCCCTATTGTGCATGGATTTGCAGCCTGATTATTCAGAGCATAGCCAAGGAAAGGTAAGGCTATGACCCATTGTTTTCCTGCGATCAATTGAATACTGTCATTTGCATTTAAAACGCTCTAAATTCGCACTGTCAATATGCCAAACAGCTGCTCGAGCTTTTCAGCATTCCATGGTGACAATCACACTATCATACATCATTGGCACCAGGATTTGCAATACTCTCAGTGTCAAAATTTTGTGGGTTTTTTTTTAAGAGGAAAAAAAAAAAAAATCCTCCCCTCCCCCCAAAATACCCAAACCTGTGAAAAATCCACTTTTAAAATGATGGCGTTGGATGCTGCTAAGCAGGCCTTCACAGATGCCAACATATCAAAATTCATCTCTTTTCTTCCTCTCCTACAATTAAAAGGTAGTTAAGAAAGAGGCTGTTCCTGATAGACCCACCTTCTGTTTTCTCCTTTGTATGCGTATTATTCATTAGCAGTCTAATAAGAGTTTCAAAATGCTCTGTGCCTCTGCCAGCAGGGCATATGTATGTAGACATGTGCTTGTGACAGATAAGTACATAAACAGCATATTGGCACCAGAAAGACATCTGTGCCTAGAAAAACGCTTGTGATATGTACATAAATGACATTTTAGCTCTAGTCAAGTCCTTGTGGCTTTGAGAGGAATATGTGACTGTACTCTTCTCTGTGAATACTGAAAAGGTGCGCCTTAGACGGGAGAGCTTTCCCGAGGTTTGCGGGGAGCCGGAGGATGCGGAGCAGCCCGGGTTGCGGCAGACGGTGGGAGAGCCGTGCCAGGGGAGGGTGGGCGCTGCCTCTGGCGCTGCCGCGGGCGCGGCCCCGGGGGGAAGCACCCGGCACCCCCAAATCCCACTCTGCATCCTGCATCCGGACGGGATGTGCCTGCGGGGCGGCGCTGGCAACGGCGGCGCAGCTCCCGGGAGAGAAGGGAATAAAATCTTGGACCAAAAAGCCAGGGGTGATGCAGGGTCGGGGGGCACAGGGAGGGCTCCCTGCAGCACTTTCTGCTAACTGCATTTAATTAGCTGGTTCAAGTCTGAATGTGACCCCTTCACAACTGGCTTCTACAGCAGAAAAGGGACATTTTGGACTCTAACAGAAGGAGACTGAGCATCCCATCTTCTGGGATCCTCCCCAGATGGCACAGGCAGACACTGTAGGTCTGCTCACACCACTTGGTTTAGGCTCCTAATGCCTCAGTTTGCCCATTCCTGGTGACAGTTCCCTGACTTGGAGCTCTAATGAGCACTGGAAATGTTGTGGCCAGGAGGTTACAGCTCAGAGGTCTACAGTCCCAGGGAAACCTAAAGATTACTTGCACCTAGTCTGGGTGAGGGAGGAGAGAGAGAGAGAGAAGATGCAAAATTGGAGGCACTTTAGTATTCACCAAAAACATACACAGCAGTAACTATGGACTTGGCTTACTGATTCTGGGCATTGAAGTCAAAGCCTGGGATATATGGGAGCCCTTATGTCCCAGTGAAATAACCCAAGTAGGGAATTTCAGACTAAGTGAGTTCAACCATGTCTTTCCTGAGTTCACCCCAGGTTTGGGTGCTCCAGCACTCTCCATGCCTGGCTTTCTGAAATTACAAAACCCCTGTAGATTTCATTTGATCCAGTAAAGTAAATCCTGAAAGGAAATGAGTGTCCTGATCTGCCATTGAGTCCAGGTTCATGAAGACTCACCTGTGCTGGACCATGAAACAGCAGCTGCACCTGTGTGAAAACCTTCTGGAACGTGGATCGGGGTGGTCGCTGCTGTTCAAGAGCTTGCCTGTGGTGAAAATGGCCTCACTTCCTTGGGCCTGACATAAAGAGGAGAGAAACAGCAAAATATTCCTTACTTGAAATCAGGATGGGTCCTTGGACTTTGCTGAGCCTGTTTGTTGACATGACCTGAGCACGCGGCTCCCGGGGTGGGTGGGAGTCTCGCACCTCCAACGTGATGGATGGAACAACAGTGGTGGATGAGCTGTTACTTGCCTGAAAAAAAGTGTTTTGGGGGAAAATTGTCTCCAGTCATTCTCATTTTGCTTGTGATTTTTCCTACATATGTTTCTAATCATTAAGAAATTCTGTAGCTTAAATAATGCTCTGAAAGTACGGTAACTGTTGGACTACATTCTGTTGTAACCTTATTGAATTTCACTTCTCTGGAAAAAATAATGGGATACTATATCTTGAAAAACAAATGGTAATTGCATTTTTAACAGAATGTTTCTCTTTGTGTTTCAAAACCTTCTGCACACAGTTAGACATCTAGCCAGGGAAGAAGGTACAAAGCATATGGGCCAATTTCTGTCTCTTGGCTGTTCAAGATGCCTTAATATTCAGGCAGTGATGTGTGCCTGTCCATGCAATATGGCACAATTTATCCACATGGTATCCTTGAGCTCAGGTGAGGTGGTCAAAAGCTGTGTACTGGCATTAGATGAGGTATTTGAGGAGAAACTGGGGGAAGGTGGGTCTACATCCTCTTCCCTACTAGATGTGTGGGTGCACATCCTCTTATGAACTCAAATTTGTGTTATTTGATCTGCAGAACACCAAAGTTCCAGCATTCATGGTGCTAGCCAGAGGAACAAGTTCATCCTGCAGGTGACCAAGATCTTACAGATAAGGATCTGGTCAATACTGCAGAGATTGGTGTTGTCCAACAACCTTTGCACTGCCCACGTGCCATGGCGATGTGACTTCCTCAGTGTTTTGGGGATTTGCACATCACCACGTGCTGAGAACTGGGTTGATTAAAGCCTGGGACCCAAAACAGAATCACCACAGTTTGATAACATGCTGGTGTTACTGTCTGCCAAGGTTAGGAGAGCCCTGGTAATACTGGAAGGCTCTTCCCTAATTCTTTGTAAATCTGGTGTGTTAAGAACTTTGGGAGAGGATGCATTTGGACATGTGAAGCTTCAAGGCAAAGGAATAGACTTGAGGTTTCTGACTGACTGACAAGACACATGTGAGTACATGCAGAATGTGCTAAAAATAACATTTCTCCTGTCAACCACGATGCACCCACCCCCACAACACCACCCAGAAGAACACATTAACACCTTGGCTTTGCACGTAGCCCGATTCACAGCAGCCACAAGTGGTAGAGGGATCTGCACTCTGTGCATGCTGACAAATCATATGGCACAGCGAGGAACAGAGGAGTGAAACTGGGCTAGCAGAAGTTGACGCCTTATCATCACAGTCCCTCTGAGCATGCTGTAGGCTGACACCTCCACCAACCGAGTCATCTCCTCGGTGCCAGGATGAGGAGCACGAGCCTGCTATCCTGATTTAGCCTCTGGTAAGCCAGGCTTGGCTTGCCACACCAGGAAGGCTGGAAGAGGCGCGTGGACGCAAGTGGTGCAGGAGCGCCGTGGGCGCGCCGGCATGAGGAGAAGCAAAGCACATCCAACCACTGCTGCTCACAGCTGTGCTATGGGGACATGTAAAATGTGCTTTATACACAAGGGATGTGAGATGTTTCTCCCGTTGCTGTTCCCTGTTTGCTGCCTAATCCCATCTAGGAACCTGAAAATACTTCAAAGCAAGAAGGATTGGGTTGCAGATAACTTTTGCCCCTAAAAAAGACTCCTGCCATAGCCAAGGTGCAGGTCTGTCAGATAGCCTGCTTGTGCTTCTAAGATAATAAAAGACAGGGACAGCAAAGCTTTTTAAAATGGTCAAAGACTAGAGAATACCAGATTTTTTTTTCCAATTATTGTTTCTTATGGAAAGCTGCACTTTTTTTCCTTAAAAATGAAAAAAAACCCAAACCATCATATGGCAGTAAAAATTGACCAGCCTTCAGAATTTCTCATATTAAATTTTTTTTCCTTTAAAATTAAAAAACCCAAACCATCATATGGCAGTAAAAATTGACCAGCCTTCAGAATTTCTCATATTAAATTCTCATTCAACCGAAGCCATTATAGGATTCTATGGCAGTAAAAAATGACCATCCTTCAGAATTTCTCATATTAAGTTCTAGGCAAATAACTTGAAAGCTCATTATTTATAGTTTTGCCTTACTATACATTTAGATTCCTTGTAAAAGTAAATTTCGTAAAAGGGGAAAAAAAAAAGGGAAAGAGTGAGCTGGAACCAAGTTGTAGCTAAATATCAGCAGATGACACAAGATTGATTCCAAGTCATAGAGGTCACTGTCAGTCCACTGCAGCCTTCCCCCAGGACAGCCTTATTCAAAGGAGATTTTCAGAAAACCCAGGAGATTTAAATGCATAAGTTCCAATCCCATGGCAAGCACATGAGCCTATGTTCTCACTCTTGAAATTAAGCTCCTTTAACTCTCATTTGTGTGGCTGGGAGAGCCCTGGGCCCCTGCAGTTCTTCCCTTGTCTGAACCTCCCCTGACAGCTCTGGCAAAGCCAGGAAGGCTTTGGTGGGCACTGAAGGCACCCAGCCCTTTGCAGATGGTGCTTAGCACTTAACAGGATCAGCCCCTCAGCCCCTTGTGTGGTGTCCATCACCTCAGATGCCTCAGCATCCCTGAAAGCGCGCGACGCCCACCACATGTGATCAGCCCCATAAGCTGCTTTCACCTCACCTCGAATGTTTGCTGTGCTGATAATCCCAACGGGGTGTCATATAAAGGAGCCCCTTGTTCAGGGCAAAAGGGAGGAATGCTCTTCCATAAGGAAATCAGGGAGTTGACAGAGATGTAAAGCTAAAGGTTTGCAAGATTGCTTTTGCTTGGCCAAATGTTGTGTGGTTTCAAGGTTGTTTTTGGAGTTCCTGGTGTTTAAAGTTAGTTATTCAGCAGGTGGTCTGGCAGCAGCTGTATATGGAAAAGCAGCTTCCAGTCAGCTATCAGCATTTTAGCTTTTTTTGTTTCTTCTCCAGTCGTTGCTTACTCCTGTTTTAGCAAATGTAACACCAGAATCAAGTCCCTTCCTGGGATGAAAACCTGCGAGTTCATCGGCCAAGATGGAGCTTCAGTTTTGGCCTGATTTTGTGTCATTCTCGAAAAAGCTGAATGGTCGGATGCTCTTGGTGGTTCTGGTCTTGTTTCTTTTGATTATTGACCTAGCGAAAAAGAGACGACCCAGGAATTTCCCTCCAGGGCCACAGCTCTTTCCTCTCGTGGGAACCTTTGTGGACTTTAAGCAGCCCCTCCATCTTGCACTGCAGAAGGTAAGAGCTCCACAGACATTTTCCCTACTAACAATATCTTACCCTTCCATGACTCTTATCACCACACTGAGAAGCAGCAAGGGCAGCCTCTGCAGAGCTGGGTATATAACAACCACATGAGATAGATGACCCTTCTTGGTTTTATCTCTCATTATCACCTCCTCTTCCAGGGGAGTAGGATGGTCCAATGGGAAAGAAATCCATAACAGAGGAAGCCCTATATGTTCCTTCTTTTTCTTCCCATCTGACTATAAACATTTCCTTCTGGACCTCAGAAAGGGCTCCGAAGGGCTGGGCCAGGCTGGGGGAAAGGTGAAAAGTGCTGTGTGACAGCGGAATTGTTTGCAGATCACCTCTGGAAATTGTCCTGTCATTGTCTTTGCTCAGAGGCCGACAATTCACCCCATCACATCTGAAAGAAACATTTAAAATCCTGTCCTGTGGCTTCTTCTGTGTTGCAGAAAGAGGCAATGATCTCTCTGGAAAGGATTTACTCCCACCAGAGACAAAAAGAGAGAGATTTTATGCATGCTGAGTATTCCTCTCTGAAAAGGTGGAAGAAGTTCTGACATGCTGACTGCAAAAATCCTTTCTGGTGACTATTTGTCTCTTGCTTTTGCTTAGCAGGCTGACACCAGCCTGTCTACCCTGGGTACTCTCAGGCCACCAGCATGGGTGGTCCCTGAGGGAATCCCTGAGTTAGGATATTTTGGCAATACACACAGTTATTAAGAAAATGAATCCCATTTACTTACAAGCACAATGACTGAGACACCCATTTGGTCCCAGGCTGGTTTCATGAGTCACCACAGCAGTCTGGGGTGACCCTGTGTGTCCTTTCATGTAGATTCATTCTAAGAAGAAGATGAGCACCCTGACAGAGAGAAGATATGATTCCCCTTTTACCCTTATACATCTCAGAGGAGACACTAATGCCAGCAAAGTCCATGCAAGGAAAATGGCTGCAATTTGGCCATAAATGCAGTCAGGCTTAAAATTAGAAGTACGTGTCTAGCAATAAGCAGTTAGAGCTCCTGTCTAAATGGGAGAGCTGGAGAAGAAACCACACTGCTCTGGACACAAAGCTGATGAAAGGGATAATTTGTCGTGCTTTGCCCTCAGCAGGAAGAGCCTGAGTGTGGTGACCCAGGTGGTGGGACAGAAAGGGACAGAGCAGATGCCCATCAGTTACAAAGCAACTTACATCCTTGTTACAAGCCAAACTGATGGAAACACCTGGTCAAGCCCAGGTCACACCAGATAACAAATATAAACAATCCATCTCTCCCATACTAAAGCTCTCCAGCCCTTTTTATGCCTTCTCCAGCCTTCATGGAGAAGCTGAGATTGGATGGGACCTGCATGCTCGGGTTTGGGTTTCTCTGAAGTCCCTTTGCTTCAAGCAGGGTTAAATTCAAAGTCAGATTTCCCTGTTCAAGGTCTTGGCCTGGAGGGTTTTGAACATTCCCATATTCTTGTTCTCAGAGGACAATGGACTCTCTTTCAGCTTACGGGTCGGTACGGGAACATCTTCAGTGTGCAGTTTGGAAGTCTGACATTCGTGGTGGTCAACGGGTACCAGATGGTGAGAGAAGCTCTTGTCCATCAGGCTGAAATATTTGCTGACCGGCCAAATATTCCACTCCTCCAAGAAATATTTAAAGGCTTTGGTAAGCACAGCCACCAGGATTTTGGGACAAAACTTTCATGTCTGGAATGATAACTGTTAGAGGGAAAGAAAATGATTGAATTCAACCCTTGTGAGCTGCACCTGTGAAAGTTTGCACACGGGAAGGCAAGAATACTAATAATCTCACAGGGGTATGTTTTAATCTCTGTGCAATTTAGGGATGAGGATGGGCTCAAAACCAGGTTTTAAAGAAAGAGGAGAAATAAATGGAAGCTGCCCAAAGATTGATACACTTGCAGCGTTTCCCCTTGGTTTTCATTGCTCCTTTACTTTCCCTGCCTGAGCTGCACACAGCTCCAGAGACGGGGTGCTCCTGCCTGCAGCTCTGCCAACAGCGTGATAGTACTCAGAGTATTTTGGCTTACACCTTTTTTTCCCACGCAAAGTGACAAAGTAGCAGATTAAAGCAAATCCATAAAGCTAGATCTTTAGCATAAGCCAATTACTCTTGAATTTTAATTCCCAGGAAAAGCCATAGCCTTTTCCACATCCACGAGCTTTGTTTGCCTTGGTTTGGGGTTTTTGTCCATGATGAATGGACATGGTTTTAGAACCCTAACACTCACAAATGACCCAGAGAGAAGATTTTTCACCTGTTTTTTCCACCTACAGGGCTTATATCATCCAACGGGCACATATGGAGGCAGCAGAGAAAGTTTGCTTTAGCAACACTGAAAAGCCTTGCTGTAAATTTTGAGGAAAAAGTGCAAGAGGAGAGTCGATACCTCGTGGAGACAATTGAGGAGGAGAAAGGTGGGGGTTAATGCACAGCACTGTGCTCAGAGCTTCCAGCTAAATGAATGATGAGAAGTAAAACTCTTACCCCAGCACAGCTCCAAAAATGCAAAACATTTCTTCAATAGCTCAAATCTCTATCTTATACTTCCAGACTGTGCCTTTTAGCACTTATTTTAGACCTCAGGCTTCCTATTTTAGCTGTTCCTTATTAATATTAAGCAAATATATACTAGGTGGTTATTAAAACATGAGTGTTTACATGGCTAAGGAAGTGTCTCATGCATTCTGCGAAGGAATAAACACAGCTCTCCTGCTATCAGGCACTTCCACTCAGAGGCTTAGTTAACCTCTGCTTGTCCTTGGTTTTGCAAAGTATTTTAAAACTTGTTTAGTCAGGCTTTCCCTTTGTATCGCACACAGATGAAGTGTGTGCCTTGCTCTTTTATGGTCCAGCTTTTAAAAACTGCCAGAGGGATATTAGTAAGAATAATTTGTATGTTGGTACATGGGTGATGTTGCACTTCAGCTTTAAATAGAAGCAGATGGGGTTGAGCTAATTCTATGGAGCTATATATAGTAAACAAGAAAGATCTAAAAAGGAATTGTGAAATTATATACTAAACTTGCTCCATTTTAATTGCTGTTGCACTGAACAGGCCAAATACTCCATGTTGCCAATTGATTATAGTCTTCTATAGTCCTAATCAATAAACTAATTAAGCTGCTGGTTTGGGCCTTTCTTCCCATTAGTAATGACAAATAGTGATCATGTCCATCACTCTAATATCTGAGCACCAGCCCAGTTTAATTACTTTCTTGAAGAGTGGAGAGAGCAGCAGTGCTGCGAGGAGTGCCTTGCATTTCAAAGTGATGCTCAGCAGTAGCTCAGGGCTGGACTGGGCTTGTCACTGAGATCAGTCACTTGTCACAGCAAGTGGCTCTCCAGGCTGCCCAAGGAGATGGAGGTCTCTGCTCAGTAGCTCTCTCAGGGAACACAGATGTGACAAGCATCACATCACACTTCACTTTATAAATGGGCTCTATGGGCCACATGAGCTGTTGCTGGGCTTTACAGGTGGGCACAGAGATCTGCAACCCTCTCCTCCAGCTCCCTTGATTTCTTCATGGTGGATAACTAAAGCCCAGGGCAATGGTATTTTTGCAGTGTGGCTGTCCTGGGCTCCCTGCCCTGGGAAAAGTTTTGAGGGATCCTCTCCTGGTGTTTAAAATTGGCACCAAACACAGGTTGAAGTGGGCAAAGTTGACAGCCATAGCATGGCATGCTGCTGGTTGTTTTCCCTGGAAAATGCTTCAGACCCTGCTTGGGCAGCTCAGTGCTAATGTCACTGCCTACTAGCAGCCTGGGCTGCACACAGGATGGGATGTCCTGGCCCAGGCTCCAGTGGGATGCTGGAGGTGATGGGGGTGGTGGGTACCCCAGGACATGGGGTGAAACCTCACACCACCATGGGTGAGAAGCAGGTCTTGCCCTGATTCACAGCTGTGGATCTGACAGAGAATATGGTTTTGACTGAGACTGAACAGGAAAAACAAATGAAAGCTGTCTTTAGAATCATAGAATCATGGAGAGATTCATGTTGGAAAAGATCCTTAAGTTCATTGAGTCCAAACATTAACCCAGCACTGCCATGTTCACCACTAAACCATGGCCCTAGGTGTCACATCTACACACCTTTCAAACACTCCAGGAATGGTGACTCCACCACTGCCCTGGGCAGCCCCTTCCAAAGCCTGCCATCCTTTCAAACGAAGACATTTTCCCTCATACCCAGTCAAAATCTCCTCTGGCACAACTTGTGGCTGTTTCCTCTTATGCCTTGTTCCTTGGGAGACAAGACCAACTCCCACCTGGCCACAACCTCCCTACAGGCAGTTTCCTTTCCTTTTCTTTCCTCCAGGACAGCCCTTTGACCCTCATTACAAAATTAACAGTGCTGTTTCAAACATCATCTGTTCCATAACTTTTGGGAGCCGCTTTGACTACCATGACAACCGTTTCCAGGAACTGCTGCACTCCCTGGCTGAAACGCTGCTGCTCATCGGAAGTTTCTGGGGCCAGGTAAAGCCACTGGGATGTTTTTCCAGCTTCAGCTGCATGGAACAGCTCAGAAACTGGGGATTCTAAGGCATTGGTATAATCTGCCTTTTCCTGTAGAAAAAGAGCCATGTTTAAAGGAAGATGACCAGGAGAATTGTTTTACATTAGATGGGATTTATACACAAAGCCTATCAGGAAAGCAAGGAAGTAAGTTAAAATTATTGAAACACATGGAGGAAAAAAAAAATACTACAGGATTGTGAAACCAATCTTATGCCTGACATAACCAAAAAAACAACAGGAAAACCTTAAAAGATCTCAAAAGAAAATCTAAAAAGAAGAACTAGTAACACTTTGAAAATTCCTATCTTTTCCCACACCATATCCCAACCAGTTTCTTAAATAACTTCTATTTAGGAAAAAAATTTGAGATTCCAGGTTTAGAAACCAAATAGGTGGATTGTGGTGATGTATTTTCTGTGTGGCCACACACCATGGTCTGATTTCTGTCCCCTCCATGGGGACACACTAAGGGGCTCATCTGCATCTACCTCACCTGTGGCCACCTCACATTAGGGGGCAGCTTTGGCCATTCAGTATTTGAGAACTTTATCAGGAGGAAATATCTGTCCAATTCTTACCTTGTTTGCACTGGTTTACACCTATGTAAATAAATTTGTACAAATTGGACAGTTACAGCAAGGATAATTTTTTTTCATGGTAGCAAACAGAGTTAATCAATTAATTGAGAGTCCCATCCTCTCAACTATGATACCTGCTCTTTTCTAACTCAAAAAATGCTCTTTTGCTCTGTTTGATTTCTTACCAGCTTTATAATGCTTTTCCTTTGATCATGAGATGGTTGCCAGGACCCTTCAGGAAAATCTTCAGGCACTGGGAGAAACTTCAATATTTTGTGAAAGGCGTGATTGCAAAGCACAAGGAGGATTTGGACCAGTCCGAGGCAGGAGATTATATTGACTGTTACCTGAAGGAAATAGAAAAGGTAGGAAGTAAATAACCAAAACCACCTAAAGATTAACCCATAGAATGAGCAGAGAAGATTCAGGGCTGTTTTGTCAGGGGAGTTCTTGCCTCACAGCTCTTGCCTTCCCCTCCCTACCTCTGCCACATCAAACTTTTGTAGCAGCAGAAGCCTGATCACTTAGAAACACATATATAAATTTTTTTTTCCCATTTGAAAGGATTTACACTTTGTCTTTCTCCCTTTTTCGTTCTGTCACACGGCGTAGGAGGACTCTCAGGGAACATGTTCATGTTTCTGTGAGCACTCGCACGCCTGTGTTTGCTATTGTGAAACTTGACATTTAAAAATGCTACCTGCTTTTAAGAGCCACTCTACAGCAACCAGGGTGTCTGTCAAAACAGTCCATAGGGCTTGAAACCCAGTGAAAGGCTGGAAATTTCCAAGCCCAGGTGTAGATAATAAAGGAGCAGTAGGACTTCAGTTACACACAGGTGATTTTGGATTGGGTTTTAAAAGCATCCCCTCCAGAATAAGAGCTTTCATTGCCATGTTTTTCCTCCAAGTTTAAGGGTGACACCAGCTCCTATTTCCATGAGGAAAACCTGCTGTGCTCCACCTTGGACCTGTTCTTGACTGGGACAGAGACAACAGCGACCGCCATCCGCTGGGCTCTGCTCTACATGGCCGCGTACCCCCACATTCAGGGTAGGGCCACTCTGGGGTCCTTTGCTTAGCCCAAAACTGGGTAAGGGAAGCTCAGGGAACAGAGTTATCCCAGCTCTGCCACATCTTGGATATGCCTGTGCCCCAGGTATCCTCTTGGGAGCCCTTTGAAGACAAGTCTTAGGAGAAGCTGTTGAGAGAACTGGGAGTGTTTAGCCCAGAAAAAAGGAGGCTCAGGGAGGACCCCTTCTTATGCTCTACCACTCCCTGAAAGGAGGGTACAACCAGGTGGGGGTCAGTCTCTTCTCCCAAGGAACAAGTGACAGGACAAAGGGAAATGGCCTCAGGTTGTGCCAGTAGAGGTTTAGGTTGGACATTAGGGAAAATTTCTTCACTGAAAAGGTTATCCAGCCCTGGAACAGTCTGCCCAGGGGAGTGGTGCAATCACCCTGGAAGTGTTCAAAAGGAGTGAGGATGTGGCACTGTGGTGGCCTGGCAGTGCTGGTTTAATGGTTGGACTTCATAATTTAAGAGAGCTTCTCCAACTCTAAAAATTCTATGAAGAGAGATATTTTAATTTTTTTTTTTTTTTGCTTCCTGTAGAGAAAGTGCAGCAGGAGATCGACGCCGTGGTGGGGCAGTGCCAGCAGCCCTCGATGGCTGACAAGGAGAAGATGCCCTACACCAGCGCCGTGCTGAGCGAGGTGCTGCGCGTGGGCAACGTGGTGCCCCTGGGGGTGCCCCGCATGGCCACCAGCGACACCACCCTGGCTGGCTTCCACCTGCCCAAAGTGCGTGGGGATCACCAGCCTTCATCCCACCAGCCTTTTGTCCCACCAGCCTTCATCCCACCAGCCTTTTTTCCCAGGAGCCTTTATCCCAACAGCCTTCGCCCTACCAGCCTTCATCCCACCAGAGCAGGGTCTTCATGGCCCAAGCCCTGAAGCTCACCTGAAGGGGAACCAACCAGCAGGATATTACAGAAATATCACAATTATTTAGAAAATACAAGCCCTCTTGATGGATTCTGTGGGGTTGTTATGGATCTCACCTCCTTACAGAGGAGAATTGTGATATCCTCAAGGTGTTGGCTGTAATTGATAATTTAAAAAGGTTTATGGCTTAAATTTTGTAAAAGACACCCTCAGCATGTTATGGGAATAGAGGAAACATAGGAAAGCAAACAGTTTGGGTTTGTTAATTCTACACAGCATTAATAATCATCTATTAAAAGTAGCACTTGATGAAAGACAGGTAATGAATATTGTTTCACACACACTGTTCCGCAATAACAAAAGCAAATATAGGATTTATATATAACTGGTCTCTTCCCTCTACATGACTGGTTGCACTGAGGAAAATTTTAAAAATTCAGGCATTTTCTTCCCCATTGATTAGAATATTTCTCTTGCTGATGGAGAATGTGGAGATAAACCAGATCAGTGTAATTTTTTTTCTAAAAAAAACACATTTTAAAAAATCAATTGAGAATTACTTGATTAAATTGCTTCAAGGTCCTATGGGAATGCAATGCTACCAATTTAAAGTTGGTTTGCATTACCATAACCTGTTACTGCAGCTCAGGATGCAGATCAAAACTCAGTGATCTGTAAAGACACACACACAAGTGAACAATCCTGCAGGCTTTCATCTTAATTACGTAGCTTAGGGGGGGAAAAGGCCCGTTTTGCCGTTAAAACAGTGTAATTTACAGAGCTAATAATAACCCAGTCTGACAACATTTCGGCTCCTCTCCGCGTAATCGCCCCTTTTCTCCACCTCTCGCAGGGCACCACCCTGATGACCAGCCTGACCTCGATAATGTTCGACAAAAACGTGTGGGAGACTCCCGACACCTTTAATCCTGAACATTTCCTGGAAAACGGCCAGTACAGGAGGCGGGAGGCTTTTCTGCCCTTCTCTGCAGGTAGGGTGATGGATGGCGAGGTGGCTTTTCTTCTTGCAAGGCTTTTATTTCTTCCCCGAGACACTGCTTTTAGAGTAGGGGGTACCGCTCTTGTTCAGCTTCCAGCCCATCCCCACAGCGAAAATCCCAGTCACAGTTAATAGAGGCTGCTCGGAGCGGGGAGGAAATCAATTTGTTACTGCAGGATTAAAAAGAAAAAAAGGAAAAGAAAAAAAGGAAAAGAAAAAGGCTCTTTTTCTTCCTGCAGAAGTTACATAACTGTTCAGACAGTTTCCGTTCCTCGCCTCTCGGAACAGGCGCAATTTCCCCGGCAGTAAACTGGGGAAGCTTTGAGCAGATTGTGTGGGTGAACATTGCCACCTAACCTTTCCAGGAAGAAAAGCCGCCGCAGCCTGTGCGAGGCGGCGCGGCCCGGAGGAGCCTCGGAGCTGGCTGAGCTCGCTCGGCACTCTGTCGGGTTCTTTGTGCTCCTTTTCCAGGTAAGAGGGCTTGTCCCGGGGAGCAGCTCGCCAGGACCGAGCTCTTCATCTTCTTCGTGGCCCTGATGCAGAAGTTCAGCTTCCAGGCCCCAGCTGAGGCCGCGCTGTCCTTCGCCTTCACGCTCAGCCTCACGCGCTGCCCCAAACCCTTCCAGCTCTGCGCCGTGCCCCGGCACTGAGCCGGGCCTGGCTGCCCCACAGCCCCCCTCAGCCTCACAAACTGGCAAATCCCCTTCTCCTGAGCACCCTGCAGCCTCACAAACTGGGACATCCCCCTCTCCTGACCACCCCAGAGGTTTTGGGCTGAAATGATGGGCCCTGGAGGTCCAGCACCCGCCACTATCTGGGTGGCTGGGGAAGGGCACACGGGCCCCATCCTGCCCGCTGCAGCAAACACAACCCTTGGGGCTCTTCCCTTCACCTCATTCCTACTCCCTGCTACCAGTCTGATAAAATGCATGGATTTAAAAGCCTTATTCCCTAATTTCCACTGTCAGCAATTCCCAGAAAGTTGTCTGCCACCTGCAAAAGCATGGTTTGATGTTGAGTTTTCCATGGGGAATATGTCCATCACCCAGAGACCACTTAGCAACCCCTAATGCTGCAGCACCCAAATAGCCAAAGACTCCTAAGGTGTCCCTGCTCAGAGCGAGCTGCTGGACTTGGACACAAGCTCTGGACTCAAGACTCAGCATCAATTTGGGCTTTCAGGTGGCCACAGCCAATCCTGAGCCTCAGGCAGGATTGGGCCCAGGGTGGTGGAAACTCCCTGCAGCACCACATTGCTGCTGTGTGATGGCAATCAAAGAATCAAGGAATAGTTTGGCTTGAAAGGGACCTTAAAGATCAGCCCCTCTGCCTTGGGCAGGGCCACCTTCCACAAAATACATTGCTCCAAACCCCAATCAGCCTGGCCTTGGACACATCCAGGGATAAAAGATATCTAAAATATAAAATAGATCTCTGCAGCAGCAGGAGCAAGAATTTTTTTTGGATCTCAAAGAGTATATGGGAATTTTAATTAAAAGGCTACAGGGGAGTAGAAGCTGCTTCTACCACAGCCCCGCCCCAGTGGGATGGCACAAGGAGCTGTGCTTTCATCAGGTCTGGAAGGGCTATAAAAATATGATACAGTAATTTTATATTAGAAAAGCAAAAGGTTTGTGCTAGTAAAATACAAATCAGAAAAGCTGCAACAAAATAATCCCCTGGGGTTGCTGGGGAGCAGCTCACCTGAAGCGCAGCAGAAAGGGAACAGCAGAGTTGGAAGGGTCATGCCTATGGTGGCTCAGTGCTGGCCCGCAGGAAGGAAGTGTTGGAACAGTGGTTTTGTGGTGGGAAGTCATGAGTTCAGCACTTCCCCTCTGCTTCTGGCACAGATTTGTGTCTGTGTGAGCAGCATGGACGTAGCAGGGGGCCAAGGAAGCAGCTGGGACAGGGCACCCTGCACCATGGACACAGCTTCCTCCTATGCCAGGCCGCTTTGGATAAGAGTTAATTAAATATAACTTGTAGAGAATTTTTCCATCTATGTGACCAAGCATTTGTGCTTAGAAATGCTGTCACCTGTGTGCGTCAGTTTGGACTATAGTCACTATAGCAAAGGTTCTTCTTGTTGTTATTTGCTTCTCACCTTCCATAAGTGACTTTTCTGTGGGTACCCACGTAGGCTATGGAATAGTTAACAGGAAAAGAGGATTACATTGAGTTTCATTTCCGCTGGTTTTCTCCTCTGTCCCCGGCAGTAGCGGCTTTGCTGCGGTACAAAGCAATCCCTGTGCAGTGGCAGATTTATGCCACAGGGGAGAGTGCTCTGCACATCACATCCCTGCCACGCCGGGCACACGGGGATTCTGTCACTGAGCTGTCCTTCCCACTGATCACTTTAATCCTATTGCGTTTTTAATTATTGTGTCACAGTCACGGGCTCCCATGTTGTGTTTTTGTCTTTGTGAAAAAGAAAACATAAAAGATACAAGGACTTTTTTCACCTATGAAGTCTTCAACGCCACTCAGCACGAAGCACTGGTTTCTCTCCAATTTTTGTGTTCCTTCTGTTGTAGGTCTGACCTCTGGCTTGTGGCTGCAGTTTGTGTTATTTGCACTGGCTTAGCAAATAAATATTGATCTCTCTTTCATTTCCTACTTGTGTTTCTTCATTATCTTGGAGTTTCCTCCCCTACTCCTGGAGAGAATAAATGATTGAAGTGATCTTCTTTTTTTTTTTCCTTTACTTAAATGCAATGATGCCATACCTTAAAGGCAGGAGGCATGAACTTGTTTAATTTTCAAGTGGATCCTCTCATGTCACTGCTGGTGAACAAATGCATCTCCAGGGACTCATGCCTAAGTGTGCTTAAAAACCAGAGATTAAAAGAGATATTCTCAAAAACAGGCCTCTCCCCTTAAAATTCTACACTAAAACAGAGATTTGACTTTTCCAGCTTCCCAGTGTAAGGTTATGGAGAACATGTGTATGGCGTCACTACAGTGGCTCTGCTGCACCTCTGTGCCTTGTCATCAGCACTGGACAATAATCCCAACAGCCACAACTGACAGCCCCAAAAGAGAGAAAAGGCACCCAAAACGTCCCCCAGAGCAAGAGGAGGCAGCTGATGACTGCAAGGGGCTGTGACAGAGTCACATGGTGCAGGGGCAAAGTGCTGCTGCTCCCTGTTTCTTTCACAGTAAAACACAAGAGACACATCAAAGTTCCACATGGTCCATGTGCATGAACTCCTCCCTAACCCAGAGCTGCTCCTGGGTGGGAAAATGCAGCACATTCTGCTGCCAGCTCCCAGCAAAGGGCCCCAGCCTGCACAACTGGGCATCTGCATCAGCTTCTCAGCACCTTCACCAGCTCTGTGGGGCTTTGGGAGCAGCTTCCCCTGTGGGCTGTGACCCAAAGGACAAGGCAGGTGGGGAGGGATGGCTGGAGAGCTCAGGGCACGGCCAGAGCCAGCTGCTCTGCCTGCACTGCTCTGGTGGAGATCAGAAAATGTTGGTGCCCAGGAAGTGCCGAGTTCCGGGACAGCTGTTCACTCCAGCCCACGTCACCCAGACACGAAACACAAAGCGCAGTCAGATGGGTTGGGAGAGATTGTGCAACCTTATCTCGGTGTCCCCTGAGACCAGGGGCTGGGCCTGGGACTCCTCATACCAGGAAGGGAGCTGCTGTAAACAAGGAAAGCACGAGGCTCTCGGAGCAGCTGGAGGCTCCCTGAGAAGCTGAAACTGGGACGTAGCACGGTGAGGACCCCTGGGAAGGAGGGAGCAGGGTCATCCTGGGAGATGGGTTTGTGGGAGCTGCATGCTCAAACTGCCAGGTTTTAATCTAAATACCACAAGGCTCATTGTTGTCCTTTAGACAAGGGCATGGAGCACTGGGGTTTAGAAAAGTCTGGAGGAGGAGTCTGAAGAGGAAGTGGGAAGCTGGGGGTGTTCTGGTTCATGGTGCATTTGTTTTAAATCAGATGAGAGGGAATGTTTCAGTTTAATCAAGAAGGGGTTTAATCCTTTCTGAAGCTGTAAAAGCCAGAGTCTGAATGTAGCCCCAAGAGCAGGCTGCAAAAGCCACTCCTTGCTGTCCTGTGTTTGCACCCACAGCTGTGCCTGCACATCACCCATCTCCCCCTGGACCTGGGGGGCTCAGTGGTGCCCTGTGAGCTCAACCTGCCTGACCTGCTGTGGGACACGTCCCTGCAGAGCCCCAGCATCCAGCCATGCTGCACTTCCTCTGGGACAGCGTCTCCCTCCAGACATTCCTCGTCTTTCTCTTCATCTTCCTGCTCATCGCAGACTACATGAAGAACAGAAATCCAAAGAATTTCCCTCCCACTCCCCTCCGCCTGCCCTTTTTGGGCCACCTCTACCTCGTAGACTTCAAAGATCCTGTGGGTGGAGTGCAGAGGGTACGTAGGTGGTGAGCAGCAAGGGGAAGGGATGGAGGGATTGCAGCAACACCTGCCCAGCCATGCAGGGAAAGGGATAACCCAAACCCCACAGGTAGTGGAGGCAGGCAGGAGGTTTGTCCTCATCGCTGACATTTACCTGAGTCCAAGCAGGGTGACGAGTGTGGAGTGATTCCATGGGCAGAGGTCACAGTGCGATCCCACAGGTGCAGTCACAGATGTACAAACCCAACAGGTCCGAGTGGGGGCTGGATTGGGGTGAAACAACAACTGGAAAAACACAGGACTGAAAAATCAAACGTGGTGAGGTTTGCTTGATTTATAGCCAATTAACATAATCCCAATCACTGATTTAGGAAAAGCGGGAAAAAAACCCTGCCCTCAGGCAGAGTGCACACATTCTGTCTCCCCTCCCACTCTTCATTTATTTTTACCCATGTCCCCTGACAGGGTGTCCTGGTCTCACCAGGAACATCCATTGCAAATAAAAACCCCTTTTGTTTATGTTCCCTCCCAGCAAACTAAAAGATATGGTGACATCTTCGGCATGCACATGGGCGGCATGAGGTTTGTGTTGGTTACTGGGATGCGGCTGGTGAAGGAAGTGCTCGTAAACCAAGGGGACAAGTTCCTGGAACGCCCTGACCTTCCGGTCGATGACGGTATCTTCAAGAAGACTGGTGAGTTACCCCTTAAGTCATGCCTCAGCTGTAAGTTCCAAGCCTCGACCCTGCAGAGGTCTGAGACAGCTAGAGACAAGGCAGAGCCCTGGAGCTTTTCTCCCTCAGTGGGAGATCTGCCTTGGCTCACAGGGATGTTCCTGCCAGGACTGATCTTCTCCACTGGGCACCTGTGGAAGGCACAGAGGAGATTCACCCTGACCACGCTGCGGAACTTCGGCCTGGGGAAGAGGAGCCTGGAGGAGCGCATCCAGGAGGAGTGCAGATACCTGGTGGATGTGTTTAGGGATGAACAGGGTGAGTGCATCCAGGAGGAGTGCAGATACCTGGTGGATGTGTTTAGGGATGAACAGGGTGAGTGCATCCAGGAGGAGTGCAGATACCTGGTGGATGTGTTTAGGGATGAACAGGGTGAGTGCATCCAGGAGGAGTGCAGATACCTGGTGGATGTGTTTAGGGATGAACAGGGTGAGTGCATCCAGGAGGAGTGCAGATACCTGGTGGATGTGTTCAGAGATGAAAAGGGTGAGTGTTCATCCTGGTAGGGCCTGTTATAATGTCACTGCATGCAGAAAAATACCGCACCTTGCTGGCGATGCTACAACACTGCCAGCTTCCCTGCTCCTTCCTACAGGTGCTTTGGCTTCCAACTGGCTGGGGAATGCACCAGGCAACACCCACAGCATTATTCACAGCCCACCTTCAGTCT